TGTACCTTCTGCTCAATTTTGTTGTGAACCAAAAACTGCTCTAAAAAATAAAGCATATTAAAAAAATTTAAAATATGAGGGAAAGAATTACAGATAAAGTAAGAAATAATGAGATAGGCTAGAAATTTAGCTGAGAATGTTTAGTGTTTTCTCAGTGTTTATCTTCTATATTTATAATAGTTTCAATATTTCCTTTTCAGAAATCTACTTTATTTTGCTTTATAATTCATAATTGCTTAGTTTAATCTATAATGGAAGCTTTCACATGTTTTCTCTTTAAATATTTGTATTTAGCTCTCTTCAGTGAACTGAATGAACTGTATAAATTCCATACCTTTGGTTCTGGGAGAACTTCTCTCCTCCTAATAAAAGCTTAATAACTTCCTTTATGGGTGTAGGTCATGTGTATGGTAGGTAACAGATTGTTTCAGTGCAAAAATTTTTAATATATGTCCTGATTCAATATGTCACTATAAAACGTTACATAGGTAAAGAAAAGGTCAGTTAAGGAGAATTTGCATTTATTTCTACTTTATATTTATCGTTAAAAGTACTGAATAACTTCACATCACCCCTGTTGATGTATGTGTGTTGGAAAGACAATAGTGCCTGGACACAGTTTAAAGTCCTCTAACCAACCATTTAATGATACAAATTGCATCATTTCTGCTTTTCTTCCAAACTCTGGGTTTTTTTGGCTATAATAGATTCAATTACATTCTAAATTTGATTCTCTACATTTCTATGTGGAACTTTTTCCCATTAAAATATTAATTAGGTTTATCTTAAAGTGAAGTCACAACTTTAGGTTTAAATGTCAGATGCAAACCTGTAAAATGTTAACCCATTTGAGCTCTAGGAATCTAATAAAGACTTATTTTATATACAGCTTTTGACATTGCTTGGTGTATAGTGGAATACAAAGTAAAAGCTTGTTTCTTGCCTGTGTGTTTTAGTATAACACGCGTCCTTTCTGTTTTGGGGCATGCATACTGCTGATGTTATGGAAGGCTTTCTCATCAGCCTACCCATGGGGAAAATTAAGATTGTCTTGCTCTGTCCCAGGGAAATAGTCAAGGCTTTTAAAAAGAGAGAAAACAGAGAACAAAAGGACATGTCAGGCGTGCACACAACTGTGCTATTGGCAGATAGCGTGACTCCTTTATGAATGTGTGACTTTCTGAAAACTCTTATTTTAAAAGAATTATCTTTTTCTATTAGGCATTGAATTAGAGGTTTTTTTCCCCATATATAAATAGAATTTTTAGTTCTACCACATCTTGTTCAGTCAACTCTAAACTGAGCCTTCCTAGCATTTGTTTTGTCTACTTCTATTGAAGGTTTTCTGCAGGAAGAATCTCAGTTGTGACATTGTATGGATGCCAGTGAAATGATCAGAATTCAAGTTTCTAGTGTACCGTAGCTATAATGAGCTGCTAATTGAAGGCGACAAGCTGTTTTTTCCCTTCCCAGTTGGTCTGGCAAAATGTTAGATTTCATTCATTATTAACTCGTTGCTTCTCAGCAGAGGACCGGATTAATTAGTTGGGAACATTAAGAAAAGAATTTTTGCCTTGTGTCAGTTTTAGAGATTGAAGTCCAGGTTTCACTAGATTTTCCCCCAGATTTGTCGGTTGTGTGCAGTTGTGTAAGTACCTACCACAGTCAAGACATGGCAACATTTCTATCACACTGCAAGTGGCATCCAACATGCTCCTTTGCCCACTATAGCTTCTCTCTCTTCTCTGGCTACTGGCAGCCACTGATCTGCTTCCTATTATTAGAGTTTTACCTTTCTAGCTTTTCATTGAAAGGGGCCCATACAGTGTGTAGACTTCCTGTCTGGCTTTTTTTTTTTTAACTTCTTAATAGTTTTGAGATTCATCTATGTTGTTGTATGGATGATTTGTTCTTTAAAAGTTACTGTGTAATATTCTGTTGCATCAATACAGTACAGTATATTTATCCGTGTACTTACTGATCAATGTTTACCTGTTTTTGTTATTAGGAATAACAGCTTACCTAGGTGTGACATATATGTTGTATGTATCATTATTATTGAGGGACAAGAGTTCTTTTTATATTCTGTCTATAAACCCATAGTCAGGTACATCTTTTCAAAATATTTTCTCGCGATACGGTGTTTGTCTTTCATTTTCTTATATCAGTATTAAAAAATGAGTTCTGTGTTGTGAATAATATCTACATTCATGCTTTCTTTTCCTTGTTTTAAGAAGTAAAGTTTTCTGCTTTATATTCTAGAAGCTGTATAGTTTGGTTCTTATGTTTTCAGATCTGTGATCTGTTTTGAGTTAGAAGTTAGGGAACAGTTTCTTTTTTGCATGCAAATATCTAATTTTTGATCAACATTTGTTCAAAAGACGATCCTTTTATCATTTAATTATATGGTACCATCAGTGAAAACTAATTGGCCATACATGTGAGTTTATGCCACTCTATTCTGTTCCCTTGAATATAGATCTAAGTGTATGTCTATCCTTAAACCAGTATTATATATACTATCATTTTTACGAAATGAGATATAATTGACATATAATGTTATTAGTTTACGTGTACAAAATAATGTACAGATGTATAATATTTGTATGCATTGCATAATAAAATAAATCTTGAGTTATGTCCACTTATTTCTTCTGATAAGAACTTTTAAGATCTACTCTCAGCAATTTTTAGATATATAATGAAGTATTGTTAACTATAGTCACCATGATGTACATTGCATTCCCAGGACTTACTGATCTTATAAATAACTATACATTTGTACCTTTTTACTATCTTCATCTACTTCATACCCTAACCTGACCCTACCTTGCCTCTGGAATCTACTAATTTGTTCTTTTTATCTATGATTTTCTTTAAAAAAATTCCACATATAAATGAGATCATATTTATTTGTCTTTATCTGGCTTATTTCACCTAGCATGATGCCTTCAAGTTCCATTTATGTTGTTGCAAATGGCAAGATTTCCTTTTTAATGGCTGAATAATATTCCAGTGTGTATATGTGTGTGTCCATGTGCCCATTCATCAGTGGACACTTAGGTTGCTTCCATGTCTTGGCTATTGTAAATAATGCTGCAGTGCCCATGGGGATGTACATATCTGTTTGATTTAGTCTTTTTATTTTCTTTGCATAAATATCAGAATTGGGATTGCTGGATCATATGGTAGTTTTATTTTCAAGTTTTTAGGAAACTATATTGTTTTGCATAGTGACTGCACCAATTTATATTCCCACCAACAGTGCACAAGGATTCCCTTTTCTCTGCATCCTTGTCAACACTTATTTCTTATCTTTTTGATAGTAATATTCGGCAGGTCCGAGGTGATATCTTACACTATATTAATTATTGTAGCTGAATAATAGGTCTCATACAAATCAAGTCCCCAGGCATGTTTTATAAATTTTCATAAAGATTTAAAAATTAGCATGTCCTTGTTGAATAGGAGTGGTAAGAGCAGACCATTCTGCCTTGTTCCTGATCTTTTGGGGAAAGTGTTAATCTTACACCTTTGGGTTTTTTGTAGATGCCATTAATGAGTTGAAGAAGTTCTTTTCTAGTCAACAATCTTTTATTTCTAGAATAAAGCACACCTGGTTTTGTATTGCTGGGTTTGACTTGCTAATATTTTGTTGGGGAATTTTTGATGTCTGTTCATGAGACATAGATATCTGTAGTTTCTTGTGAAGTATTTGTTTATTTTTGAGATCAGGTGTTACTGGCCTCATACAGTAAGTTGATAAGTGTCTCCTCTTCTACCTTATGAAAGAATTTGTGTAGGATATATCTAAACTTTTTTGTTTAAATGACTGATACAATTTACAAATGATGTCACTTTTGAGAACTTCCTTATAAGAAGTTTTAAATTATGAGTTCAGTTTCTAGGTTTAGTTTATTGAGATTGTTTTACTCACTCAAGCTGATTTCTTGTTATATTTTATTAACTCCCTCATTCCACTTCCATTGGATGTAACTTGCTCTTCTTTGTCTGTTTTCTTAAGGTGGAAACATTGATCTCTTTATCTACTCCAATGTCAGGAACACAGTATCTTAATTACTACACCATTATAATAATATGTCTTACGTGGAATGTGTGCATAGAATGAAGTCTCATTTCTGGTAGATTCTTGATTAGGGTTGAACTGTATCAAATTAGAGAGTCTGTCAGCCTATACTTCCATTCATTTTGGCCTTTTTTTGGATTTCATTTTGTTCTTTTTTTGTATAAATGTATTGAAATATTTCCTTAGGTTTATTTCAAGATATTCAGCATATTTGTATCTTTCACTTCATAATTGTCCTCAATTTGTAAAAAGTACAGATGCTGTTTTATCTAGTGACCTTGGTAAATCCATATATTAACAATCCATATTTACAATTAATCCACATATTAATCCATGTATTAATGGTTTATCTTTCTTATGGGATTGTCTGTATATATTTCTACCTAAAGATTTGTGTTGTTGGGTTTTATATTTGTATAATCAAATTCTCAGCAAATAAATGACAGCTTTACTTCTTCCTTGTAGTAATTTCTTATGCATGAGACCTTCCGTACTATGTTGAGTAGAAGTGGCCATAATGAGTATTCTTGTCTAGTTCATGATTTTAGGGTGAAAGCTTTCAGTGTTTTACCATTGTATGATTGCTAATTTTTGTTGCTTAGTTTTGAGGTTGGTATCCTTTATCAGATTAATGAAATATTTTATATGAACAGGTTTTTAATTTTATCATATGCTTTTCTGCATCTCCTGAGATCATCTTATGATTTCTCTTTTCTATAGTACTAGTTTGGTAAATGTTTCATTTTTTGTTTTTCTTCTTCTAATTTGGCATTTCTAAAATGAGTAGATTGGCCATATATGTGTTTTTGATACTTCCAATCAATTTGCTTATGTTATATTAAGAAGAAAATGTAGAGTTTATTTTATTGGCTCTCCCACCTTTTTAAAAATAATTTTTTCTTTTCTTTTTTAGGACAAGTCCACCGTACTGTTGTGTGGATCTCTATTCACTTCGTACTGGGGAGATGGTCAAGTCCATTCAGTTTAAAACACCTATCTATGATCTCCATTGCAATAAAAGGTGAGCATCTTTTCATGACATTCTTTTGCAAGATAACATGACTCCTGTGCATGTAGACCTTTACCAATATCATTGACTTTGATATCATAATAATAAAAAAGTCACTAATATGCCTTGTGAATTCTGCGAGATAGAGTAGCTCTTAAGATTTCTTAATGAATGTTTTCGAACTTCCCGTCTTGTCCCATTAATAGATTAAAAGTGAAATGGGAAAGAATAAAAAGTATCTGAGGAAACATATAAAGGTTAAATATTGCTTTGAGGAACCTTTTACATGTATAATATAACATAAATACATATGTGTGTGTGTATATATATAATGTACGTTCATCTTTATGTTTACTGCTTTATGATGTGAAATGTACTTTTCTTGGTAGCATTCATCAAAATAAAGCATATTTTTGAAATGTAAAAAAAGCTTTTAAATATTCTTATTCTTTTACATTTCACAATGGACCTAAAAGAGGGTCAAAATAGACTTATCTTCTTTAAAATCAATTTATTAAAAATCTTAACAAAAATATTCAGACCTAGTGATAATGAAGAATTAATTTATATAACCATAGGACATTAGAGGATAAAAGGGCCTTGCTATTTTTAAAAAAGTTTTTTTGTTAAGAGGAGATAATTCAGCTCATTTATTTATTCTTACAGGAGGTACTGGGGATTGAACCCAGGACCTCATGCATGCTAAACATGCACTCTACCACTTGAGCTATACCCTCCACCCTAAGATCTTATTACTGAACAGTTTCCCTTTACATTTGAGAAAACTGAAGCCCCTTGATGTTGAATGTCGTATGAAGGTCATGGATGCAAAATATAACTCTTTCATCTCATCACAGAGCAAACACATGGAACATGGAAAACAAAATATTTTATGCTCTGCCAATAAAGTAAATTTTATAGCAGAAGACTCTCAGGTTAAATTTTAAAGAGATATTTCAAGAAGTGCTTTAGAAATGTTGAACGTAAAAGGGTAAAGACATACCCGACAAATACAAACTAAAAGAACACATAGGCTTTGATACTAATGATAGATATACTTGAATTCAAGTATAAAAATATGAGACAGGACAAAGAAAATTTGTTCAGCAATAGTGTGCAAATTCATAATGAAGATCTAGTTATTATGCATGTTTACACTTCAAATAATATCAGACTCAAAATTGACATATGACGTAGGAGAAATAATATTATTTCTGGGATAATGTAATTATCCAGTGATACATCAAATCGTTCAAAATCAACACTACTATATGGATTGGTCCAGTAGATAATATATTAAACCTAGAAAACTATAACAATAGCTCTTCTTTTTAGTGTCCTTTGTGCTGAAATAGATTACCTATTATTTAGCCAAAGAGAAACTTGAACACACTTGAATAGAGAGGTAAGTTCAGCAAGATTTTTAGATCATAACTTACTTGTATAAATGCAGTGAAGTTTTAAAATAGTATTTCTTACATTATTTTTTAAGTATGTTACAAAGGCTATGAAGGGCAAAGTTGGTTTTTTTCCCTCAACTCTCCAGTTCTTCCAAGTATTGCAAATCACCAAGTATTTCTGGTGATGCCCATGAAAATACAGTTTCGATTGACTTTTCTAACAGCAAATATTTTTGTGTTTATTTCTTTTAATTTTGGCCATGAAATAATGAACACATTTAATGTTTTCATAGATATAAAGTACCTTGAAAATTAAGAAAATTCATAGTCATCAGTATAGTCATCATAAGTAAAGGAATGATTGTGAAACTTGTGTAAAAACAGATGCAAGAGTGGTAATATGAAGTATCAGTGAAAAGTGGAAATGAAATTCTTTGGATTTTTTTTTTTGATATAGCAAAGGTTTGTATTATACCTGCATTTTTTTTTAAAAAAGAAAAGCTATATGAAGTTACGTTCCCACAGAAAAATCTGTTGATTTGGATACATTGTACATTTTTTTGGGAATTGATTTTCCAATTAGAAATTGTATGAGTTCAAATGTGTAGAAGATTAGAGGAAAAGTTATCATGTGGATTTCAGTCTGTTGCATAGAATTTGCTCTATAAAATGTCACATCTGATTCACAAGATTTCCCTGGTTAAATTTGCTTCCTGCCCCGCCCCCCCCCCCCCCAAATTAGCAGTATGGTATAATTAGTCTTTTAAACTTACCAATATTCATAATACATTAAACCTTCTTTGGTGAAATCATTTTGTGTATTACTGTGTTTTGGGGGAATGGTTGCTGCATTATATGAAAACTTCATCTCTGATTTGTCTTTTTTGTACTTTTTCTCATTGAGTTTGTCACCTTATTATGGATCTAATGATTGGTTGGTTTCTTAAATACTATGACAGAATCATTTATTATGTATTGTCAGCTGTGTTAAGGATTTTGTTCTGCATCTGATAATGAACAAGATTAATAAAGCATGCGTGTTAAATAGAACATTTTAATTTTTTCCCCATCCATCATTGACATCTGTTACTTAGTAGGTTTATCTCCCCCAAATTTGGAAAAATAAACTATGTGTATGTTAAATATTTAAAAACAGTTATAAGGAGCAGTACTCTAAAACGTGGTTTATAAAATAACTTCATTTTGGATGCATTTTATTTCCAAAAATTTATAATTCTTTTCCTAATTATTTATGAATCCTGGACTCTGGGAGAAAACATTGTTCATACAGATTCTGATTCACTATTTTAGTCAGAAATGACTCATTTCACTGAATAGCAGTTGTCTGAGCTTCCTTCCTTCTTTTTCTTTTTTCCTCTTGTGTTGGGAAATTCAGCAGTCTTTTTAAGTGACAGGTTATATAAATCCATTTTATGTTTAATTCCATGACTTTGAGTCAGCAGTGGAAAAACACTTTTAGTAAATAGCCAGCAGTTCATTGATCTCATACATTCTTAATGAAGATAGATTCATTTTTGATTTGTAATGAATGAAAATAAAATTTTCTTTGAGAAAAATACTTTTTTGAGGTGTAGTTTGTTCTCCTGTCACTTTTCTTCCTCAATCTTGCCTATCTTGATTATATTAAGGATTGTGTGGGGGGTTATTTTTACAGTTAAGAGGCAGATGTTTCTAGCCTAAATGTAAGAAGTGTTTGATTTTTAAAATTGCTTTGGTAGATATTTAAGTCTAGATTATTTAACTTATGATTCAGTTTATAGGATTTCACATTAATCTTTTATGTTTTTTTCTCTCCAATTTTAGGATCCTTGTCGTAGTATTGCAGGAGAAAATTGCTGCCTTTGATAGCTGTACTTTCACGAAAAAATTTTTTTGTCACAAGTATGTACCAATTTGATTTATTTCCTATCATATGCATCGAGTTTATACTACTTGCTTGATAGAATCAGCAGACTAATTGGAATCATAACATTAGTATTTCATGGTTATTCAATCACTGTATTTCTCTATTTCTGTGGAATCTTGTTTAGTAATATAATTTTATGGTATATATGTTCAACCCCACAACACATTTTCTTCATATTACTAAGGAAGCCTTGTCCTATACCTCAGTTTCTCCTTGAGTAGTTGTGATTAATTTAGGTTCATAGAGCTCTGTTATATTTTCAAAGCAGTTGATGAATTATATAATTAATATAACATACTGTGTACAAAACTGGATTATCTCTTTCCTTTCCCCCTGCCTCTCCTGACTCTCTGCCTGGATGTGAAGAAATAAGCATAGAATCTGGATCCAAACACACACACACACACACACACACACACACACACACACACACACTCCATGTGTTGAATACTGAGTAGTAGACATTATCCCTCTCTGATAGGCGCTCATGTTCTATATGTAATTGTATACACTGTATAATATATTATACTATATAACACACACACACATATATATAACACATAATAATTCATTGTGATACATAGTTTTTCATTTTGTAAACTATGAAGAAGAATATGCCAGCTTGTCTCCTTGATGTTATAAGATCTAAAGATGGATTAATGGAGATCATGTTCTTTGAGATATTTTTGTTTTATCACAGAATCTAATGTACACCATTTACAAATTTATATTAGTATCTCTAGCACCTAGGACACTGGCTGCCACAATATAGGTGCTCGTTAAATATTTCTTGAATAAATGAGTGCATTAACCCACTTATCAGTCAGTTATGCTGATCAAAAATTTACTGCTGTTTAATAATATTAAATACAATTTATTAAGCAGAAGTCTTCTATTGTTATAGCTATATGTTAAATTGAAAGTGGGGCATGTATTTGTTAACATCTTCATTCACAAATATAGTATATACATATCATGGTAAGCTTTGGATATTACATGGCCTGTTTTAGCATATTAATTCTTTGTTCCTATACAAATCTTATATATATTGCATTTTAATTGTATCACTCATTAATTTAAATTAAATTAATTAAATTAATTAACACAGGTAGAGAACCTACCTAAGAAACCGTGTGTGAATCCTCCCCTTTCTACTAAATGTGTGGGCTCCAGAGGAGTGAATCAGAGCAGGGTATGGACATTTAAGTGTGGTTATGACACCAGGTTTTCCGGAGTATTTGTCTTTATGTCATCAATATTCTTCTGTTCTTCATCGTTAATCAAAGTTATGCATGTCTTGACCTCTGCAAAATTAGACATCTCTGTTGTGATTCCATTTCATTTTATAATTTAAAAAATAAAGATAGCTCTTGCTGCTTCAGCTGAGTGTTAAATTGAGGAAAACTCTCAAACCATTATTTGTTAAGATAGTTTATTTAAATGGCAATGTATGTTTTGAAATTTAAACCGTATTTAAACATTTGGCTGTACTGCACTGTGTATGTTAAAGTAATATTAAACTTGCCAGTACATGTAATTTTCCTTCATTGAAATGAATGCTAGGATATAAAGTCAGTTGTCACAGCGACTAACGGGGAGTTAGTATATACAACTAAGTTAATAATGGAGATTATTTATAGTGCATATTTATGTTTTTTTTTAGTGAATAGATTAACCGTATGGATTTTCATTCATTTAATACCCACCATAGACTTTTAAAATAAAAAGATTAAACTTTATTGTAAAGGAATAATTCAGAATAATTAATTTTGTGTATTAAGCTTTAAATAATTAGATTTGAAGGACATAGGCTTTTAAGTAATTTTGATACATTGGAATGAGAATAGCTTTTCACAATACTCTGTTCTATTGGAGAAAATTTATAATAATAGTAACTTTTAAGCTTAGATGATCTAATTAAATTTTGCATAAAATTGTGTAGATATAGCCTATATCTTTAATTGTATACATCTACTTATGAGTGAAATTTGTTTCTAATAACGTGAGTATCTGTCATTTAACTAGTGGCTAATAAAAGTGGATTTGTTTCAATCAAGGACCTACAAATAAGAATTTAAAAATACCTTCAGTACTGTATGCTATAAATGGAATATATTTTTAAAAAGTTTTGTTTTTATACATTGATGATATCTGCAGCTTTTCTAGGAGAGTATTTTGCAGGCTGAGATTTTGCAATAGAATGTCGTTTTGTAATGTGACTGGAGTCAACTTACAGAAAATATGTAAAGCTTTTGAATCAATTGGCAGAATCTATATAGAAACTGGCACATTAAAGAAATTTCATATTTCCTGGGAGTCTTTCTGTACTTTCTCAATTAAACCATTTATGGTGGAAATAAGAGTGCAAATACCTTTAAGGAGAATAAGAGACAAGAGTATGTATTCTTAGTTTTCATCTTACTTGAAAGTATGAAGTACTTGCAGAAAGAAGTTGAATTTTTAGTCACCTTAAAATGGTTAAGTGTACCTTTGCTTTTCAATAATTTTGCTTATTTGATACATAGAGGTATGGCAAAAATACTATATTTTATTAAATTACTAAGGCCATTGATAAACCATTTCATCTCCTATGTCTTTTTATTTTAAGTTTTATTTTGGGGAATATAAACAGTTATTTAAAGGAAGTAGTATAAGGAACCACCATGTACTTATCATCTAACTTCAACAGTTTTCAACTTATGGACAATCTTCTTCATTTAGACCCTCCCCAAATTATTTTGAAGCATATCCCCGACATTTTATAATTTAACCTATTGTCTAAATGGTAAGAACTTCCAAATCATTATTTCTGTATTACCAAATGATCAAAACGTTTATCATCTAAACTGAGGTCTTCTGATTTGAGCAAATACTGTACTTGATTTAACCCTGGTCAGTAAGTATAAACTTGTACTTTTCCTTCCAACTGAACTCTCAAAGTTCTTGGCATAAAAAAATCCTTCTTTATCAAAGTCCAGTGTCCTTGCTCAATCTTTATTTCTAGACTTGCATTAGTCTCAGTTCTTTGCAAGTGCTCTGTTGCTTTGTTTTCCTGCCTGAAATGACCCTTTGACTAGCACTCTCCCACCACGGTGTCTTAATCCTACGTATCTTTCTGGCCCCAGTTAGATGGTAGTTCTTACATGAAAAATTTCCTGATCCCCTTAGCTGAAAACAGCCTTAACTTCTAAATCCCCAAAGACAGCAATTCTCAAATCCTGTCGTCAGAACACTAGATATACCTTTCAACGTGCTCTGCAAATCAGGATTTCTGGTCAAACAGATTTAGGAAATGCTGCCTTCTCATGGAGGATGGCAATGGTGATTAGCTTTTAAATCTGTTTAAATTTATTTATTACATTTCAATATTTCCCAGATTTATTTGATTACAGACCTCTTTTTGTTACCTAGCATCCTTTGGGAATGCTTTTTTAACATGTAACCTCTGCCTCTGTTAACGATATTTACTTTCTATCTTATTGTATGTGTTTTCTGTCTACTTGTTCTATCTTTGCCACTAAGCTGTAAACTCCTAGAGAGCAAAGTTATTCTTCTTGACTTGAACTAAGGAAGTTAGATCCATCATGCAAGGTATAATATATCCAGTATGTTCTAGCTAATTTAAAAATATTTCTGATGCTTATTTTTGCTTCTTATAATAATAAAACTTAATCTGCTAAATATGAAAACATTTATCACCTTATTTTCTAGTTTCAAAGCATCAGTGTGATTCTTTCCCCAGATGTTTATTTAGCCATAATGGTTGAGAATGTAATACAACTCTGTCAAAAGTTATCAGATGAAGAGGAAAATTGTTCATATAGGATATGTACTCATCTCTAGGGAAAGTGATACAGATTTGAGCTGGAAATTTACAGTGTTTTTTTGGTATTTAAAGGAATAAATATATGTATGCATATAAGAATGAGGTTTCTCTCTTACATATCATATGGAGTAAATCCAGAACTTTTCTGAAGTATGAGTTTATTTGAAAATTATGTCTTTGTGCTCATCAGCTCTTGAGTATCTCTCCACTAACTGGGTTAGTGTTTCCCCTTTCGGGAATAGGAACTTCTCTTTTAAAAGCTTTAGCAAGCACAAGAGATCAGTGGAGTTTCACAAAAATGAGTGGGAGACTGAGTTGTTATTACTCTTTCTTAATGCTTTTGTTTTTTCTTTTTTGGCGAATATTCTTTTAGGTCTTTGCCATGTAGACCTAAATGCTTCCCTCTGTAATGCTGAGCCACTGAACAGTTGAGACAAGTATTTATTCTGTGAATCGTTGATAGGTTAGAAGCGAGCTGGAGGGATCAGCAGGGTTTCTGTTGCTGCAGTCAGGTGCTTTATAAGTGGCGGGCAGCTTATCAGTACATCCTGGTCAGGTGGCAGGGGGCCCACCAGTAGTCAGTTTTCAGTAATTTCAGATCCATTATGATTATCACTTATTCTGTCAGTGCAGTGTTTGTAGAATGTCTCTTGTGGTTTGGGGAGGTCGAGAAGTTTATTTAGTGTGGATTTCGTTAAATGTGTGTGTTACCTAAAATGTTGAAAATGGGATAGTATAAAAGTATAGCTGTCACTTCATGGTGTAAATAAGTGTGGTACACTATGTACGAAAACCCAGTGATATCTTTTGAGGACGGGTGTCCAGTATAGTTGTCTTATGAGAATAGGACTGGAAAGGGGTATGAGAGGGGACTTTGGGGATTCTGTAATGTTCTGTTTTTTGTTTTGGGTGATGCTTTTATGTATGCATATGTTTACTTTGTTGATTTGGGTATTTCTTTATGTATATTATATTTAATTGCATAGTTTACATTTTAAAAGAGTTCGAAACATATCATCAACAACAAAAGTTTGTGACTTCTCTCCTCACACGCTGCATGCTGTTCATTGTAGAATTTCGCAGCAGGTCTGCCCTAACCCTTCCTCTGTGAATACCCTGGCCAGTAGTACTAATACATCTTATTTTATA